AATATTATTAACCAAATTAGGTGCTAATCATGTTCTTTTTGCTGTAATATGATTGCTAGCATCAGAGAAGAGTCGTTCACTAGGAACTGATGTAGCAGGTATTGAAAGATACTTACGTGCTAGTTGTGACAAAAAAGGGTAACTTACTTGATGTCCTTGCCACCAAATTAAAGGATCAATATTTTTTTGGTTCATTAGGATAACACAAATAATGAGTTACCTCGTCCTCCACTGGTATTTGATCATTAGCCCATATTTTTTGTAAATATATCTTCAGTATTATCATCACTCAAAGTTGTTATAGTTAAAACGCTTTCTTGAACATTTGTTGAATCTTGTTTAAGTTGAGCATATAAGTTTCTCAATAGGAATTCCGCTTGTGTTCATTGCTGCACACGATCAGAATCATTTATAAACGGAAAACTTTTCATTCGTGGATCCAAAATCGTTGCAATTAAAGATAGTTCATTTGGTACTTCCCATAATTTATCTAATGAAAGATATATAGCTGCGCAGACATTTTGAGTGAGATTTTCTGTGCTTGCTGGTAGCAAATATTCAATTTGATCAACATTTTCATTTTCATTTTGTTTAGTCATATGCCTATGGTTTTGACCTCTACCACGACCTCTGACCCGACCTCTAGCTCGACCCCTTCCTCTACCTCGACCTTGCGTATTTTTTACCTGTTGTTTAAATTGTTGATAGACACGTTTCAAGTAGCGCTTATTTCAAGCAGTTGGAATGTCATCATCATTACTTATAGAACTTGAATCATCATCGTCTTCAACATTTTCTAAAATATTATCTTGTAATAAAGGCCTATAGATAAGATCCATATAACTATCAATAGTTTCGTTTTTTTCAATTCTTGGTGCGAACATTTGTTTCAATGTATATATATATAGATGCACCAGATTAAGTGTTGAATATTTGGCATCTGATAATTTTCGTGTTATAGTTTTAAATGGCTGTAATAGTTGGATCATTTCTTGAATAAAACTTGGATAAAAAAAAAAAAAAAAAAAGGTAAACAATTTATAGTTTTTAAAATCAAAAATTTAAATACTTGCCATTCCCGAATTTACTAAGGGTGTTCTCAAGCAACTTTTCAATTCGATTCCCTAGTTTATTATAAAAAAAAAAAAGATTTTTACTTCCATACTTACTGGCCCAACGAATATTTAGTTTTCGCCTTGATTAAAAGTTTTTCTCTAATAGTTAAGTAAAGTGCTTGAGAACATCCTTAGACCAGACTAGAGTTAATACTTTAATCCGGATATATTTATATCTGGATTGATATTTTGCTATAAATTATAATAAAATATAATAATTTACAGCTGTTTTCATAAATTCTGGGACACCTAAAAATTTATTCGTTTTCCGAAATTTCTTCGGTTTAGTTCTGTGAATTATCTAACTCTTCGGAAACTACATCGCTGTCTCCAGACCGAAGTTTTGAAGATAGCTACGTAGTTTCCGAAGAGTTAGATAATTCACAGAATGAAACCAAAGAGATTTCGGGAAACGAATAAATTTTTAGATATCCCAAAATTTATGAAAACAGCTGTAAATCTAGATTTATTTTATATCCGGATATAAAACATAGTGAAGTATTAACTCTAAACCGGACCCATCAAGAAAATTTCTGATTAAATTACTCGGGTTATCTGAGTAATTTATGATAGCTTAATCCTAAGTTAGCATTGTCAATTAGACAGATTTTTATATTGTTCAAATCTATCTAAAGACATTTTTGCTAACTCGTACAAGGAGGATTTCCAGATTCTAGGTCAGAATCTTTTGAAAATGTATTTAATTTATTTTTATAATCTAAATGAAATATTTGTATAAATAAAATAAATCATTTTCAATCAATATTGCCAAAATACTGTCTTGCCTGATTTTATAGGAGAATTTCGCTCTGAATAATTTAGTATTGATAAAATATCAAGTACTTTTGAAATTTTAACTAACATTAGGTGCTGGCTCGGATTATAGTTTCAATATCATTCATAAAGTTTAATGTGCTCCCATACCAAAAAATATGCCTTTAATACCCTGAGAATATTTAACTCGATATTTAGACTGGTCTAATCTTATCCTAGCTGAAGTAGCCAAAAATTTAACTGCCCGGGAGCTAGAAACTAATTTAATTAAGACAGACGAGTTTGGTGTGCCTTTAAAAGTAAATTGGTCAATAGACGATATAAACCTTATATATGTAAGGACTTGTGTTTTATTCTGAATCTATTAGAATAGATTGGCATTAATAATTTTTATTAAAAGATTGCTTAAAATTTTACAAAGTAATAAGCTTACCATTCTGGTTCTCAGACCAAATCCTTCAAATCGTCTTTTGAGTTTTCTATATTTTGTGTATTTTAGTTGTGTATGTGATAATAACTCCCGAAATCTCACTTTTACACTATATAGTTGGATCTTGCTAACCATGTCTCTTGATAAATTCCAATCTAGAATTTGAATAGAAAATCATCCTTACACAGGTCTTTCAACTAGAGATGTAATAAAAACTGTTACGGCTGGTATAAACCAAACTGACGACCATTTTACCAAATAGGTCATTTCACCGATATATTAGCCCAATTTAGAGGTAGGGTTAGGTAGTTTAACCAGTTTTTATTGAAATAATAATAACTGTCGGTGAAATGACATAGAACCGTTATGGCTTATGCTGCAACTAGTTACGATATAAGTTACGGCATAAGCTGTAACAGTTTCTACTGCATCTCTACTTTCGACTAAAGGCTACAAAAACTTATCACTTAGTTATCGGGAATAACAAGTATAATTATAGAGATTACACTGAATTGCAATGCGAATTCATGAATATGAATTTGCACGAAATGTGTAATTGTGTAAATTGAATGCTAAACCAAAATTTAAACTTAGTGAATTAGGATTTTACAGTAATCTAATTCACAAGAGTGTGAAATGCTAATTCTCTAATTTAGAAGATATTTACGTTATCTCCTCAAGTGTTAAACATAATTTATCCAATTTTTCTCCTTCTTTTTGGGATGTACGATCTTGTTTTACTAACAATGATATTGAAACCAAGCGTATAGAGTTGTGTAATTCGAGAAGTCGTTTCCATGCTATAAAGGTAGAATTCCACCGAGTTTTGGTATCAAGCAAGACATCCAGAGGACTTATCAGCACATCAATATTATCATCACATTTAGCCAAATTATTTTCACGCTGCACTTCTCTTAACCTTTGTGCTTGTTTTGGCGACTTAAAAAATAATTGCAAACTTTTAATTCGTTTATGCATATGTTTGCATTGCTTTAGACCTTCGTGCACAGATAATTGTAAAGTGTGAGCTGCACAAGGTTGCTTTTCAATGAAAGGTAAGGAATCATTAAAAAGACAGATTGTCTTCACCATATTTGTCCCGTTATCCGTGGCAATTGTAAAAATTTTATCACTAAGATGCCATTGTTGAATAACATGATATAACTCCTCACTAATAATCTTGCCAGTATGCGGATAATCAAGAATATTACAGGATAATAAAACTTCACGAAATGTAAAATCAGGGGCAAGCCAGATAGCCGTTACTCCAAGATAGCCATAGTTACTTTTGGCTGTCCAGAGATCTGTTGTTAAGTGAACTGAAGTAGCAGTATCATTAAGTAAATTATTTAATTGACCTTTGCTCTATAGGTATACTTTGTTAATCAAATTTTTGGCTGTTTTGTTACATGGTATACGAAATTCGGGCTCACAACCATTAACGAATTCACGGAAATCTTCATCTTGAAGAATATATAAAGGCTCTACAAACTTAATTATAAATTTAATTAGAAGCCGTGAAAGTTTTTTTTGCTGAGTTTTGTAACATTGAGGTATGAAATTTTGATTTTCTTTGGGCTAAATAAAATAAAGGAATTTTTAATATAAAAATCAAATCTCTTCACTTGCATATATTTTTTACCTCATGATTCGTATCTAAATAATCTCGATAATTATGCACCGTTATACCATGTTTATCACATAAATGACTAGAAATATTTGAAGTTGTGCCTCCTTTACAACTATAAAGATATGATTTTTTCTTTGTACCAGCAAGGTTTTTTTCACAAATTTTGCAATATGCTACATCATTATTATTAGGGTCTTTACGAAAAAAGTAGGCCGTGTGACTTTTATTAACTCTGCTTTTTTTATTCAAATTATTTTTTCATTTCTTGCGATTTCTTGAAGGATTCGAATCTATAGAAGCAGATGTTTCAGTTTCCAAAAGAGAAGTTAGTTCATTAATATCAAGGTCTGAAGAGAAAGACGTCATTTTGCACACAGATACTTCGCCTGTTCACTATGTTTATTTAAACGTAAAGGTTACCTGATTAATGTACTATATGAGCTTAGTTTTTTGCGTGAAGGCGTAAGCTTAAAATTTATTGCCTTCTGAAAGTAGGTCTATATGAACTTAGTTATTGCAAATAAATATATTAAAGACCGTTATGAAAGCAGAAAGCCCAAAATTAACAAATTTATTAGTCCATCACAAGGGAGTAAAGTCAAAAATAAAATTTATTTCTTTCCAACTTTAGTTCTTTACAAGAATAAATAATAGAATTTATTAAAGGGCGTAAAGCCCAAGAGTGAGTAAAATTTATTACTTCCATACAAAGATTAGTTATCATGAGGGTGTAAGCCCAAAATTAAATTTTATTGCTTTATAACTTTAGTTCTCTTCAGAACTAGTAATAAATACATTTATTATAGAGCATAAGGCTCAAATGTAAAATTCATTGCTTCCTATATGAACATTAGGTCACCACGAGAGACTAAGCCAAAAGTTAGTCAAATTTATTGTCTTCCATATGAACTTTAGTTCTCTACGCGAACTAATACGAGTTATCACCAAAAATAGACATTAATACGTAATTACCGATCCCGTGCATTGCAGATTCGGTAGGTTCGGATTTATATCCGAATTTAAATTGAATCCGAAGAAAATCGGATTTAAATCCGAAGGCCGAATCAGATTCCAAACTCTAGGTACAACTAAAGTCTTTTCTTTAAAAGATATCTGTGTGAATTGAGCATAGATTTTTTCCCATTCTTCCATAAGATCATCGAGCTATGCAGTACTCAAACCACTTTTTAGTATACCTTGACATTATAACTCTTCACCAACTAGTCTATCACGATCTGTTAAAAATTTACGATATTTTCTAGGATCTTTTTTTCTTTCTATTGCGCCACGATAGAAATGTATATCTCTTTCCAAATCTCCATGAAAATACCCTATGGCCTACCTATTTTTCTCAGCCTTTGTAATAATTGAAAATTCTTTGGGATTTATTCCATATTCGATGGCATACTGATGAAGATGATTTTTGTTTGAATCAGTCTTAGAAATTGAGGAGGTGCAAATTTTGTTTAGTGTCATTACTAACGAACTGTCTTATATGATATGAATATCAGTATTTTTGCTTTGTGTAGATTCAGAAGTTTCAAACTTTATCCAAGGATCAAGTCCAGTCTCTTCTATATATGCTTTATATAATCTAGAACGAATTTTATCTGTTTGAGAACTTGGTAAATCAACTAAGTTAGCATGCCATTTGCAATAGTCATCAGTTAATATCTTGCTGGAGGTAATATC